GTGCCCCGTCACATCTTCTCTTGACTGAGCCAGCCAGGTGCCCCTCTTTTTACTTTTTTGATCATATCTTGATTGTGCCCTTGATGCACCAGATTTTTTTTTATTAACATATAATGTATTATTAGCCCCTTGGGGTACAGGTCTGTGAATCATCAGATCATCAGGCTTACACATTTCACAGCACTTACCATAGCACATCCCTCCCCAATGTGATGCACAGAATTTTTTGATGAGGTACAATTTATCAGTTTTTTGTTGTTGTTACTTATGCTGTTGGTGTCATATCTAGGAAACCACTGCGAAATCATAAGTCGTAAAGATTTACTCCTATTTTTTTCCTAGGAGTTTTATAGTTTTAGCTTATATGTTTAGGCCATTAATCTATTTTGAGGTAATTTTTGTAGATAGAGCAAAGTAAAAGTTCCACTTCATTCTTTTACATGTGGATATCCAGTGGTCTTGGCATCATTTGCGGAAAAGGCTATTTTTTTTCTCCATCATGTGGTCTTGGCATCCTTGTCAAGAATCAGTTGACCACAAACATATGGTTTTATTTCTGGACTCACAGTTCTACTCCATTGTTCAATATGTCTAGCCTTATGTCAGTAACATAGTATTTTGATTATTCTAGGTTGGTACTAAGTTTTGAAATTGGGAAGTCTGAATATTCCAATTTTTTTCCCCAAGATTGTTTTGGCTGTTCAGGGTCCCATGTAATTCCATCTAAATTTTAGGAATAGCTTGTTCACTTCTGTGAAGAGGGATGCTTGAATTTTGATAGATATTTCACTAAATCAATAGATCAATTTTGGTCATGTTGCCCTCTTAACAATTTTAAGTCTTTGAGTTCATGAGCAGGAATTATTTTTACATTAATTTCCATTATTTAGGTATTCTTTCATTCTTTCAACAATGTTTTGTAGTTTTCAGTGTACAAGTCTTAAACCTTCTTGGTTGAATTTATTCTTAAGTATTTTCTATTCCTTTGATGCTAGTATAAATGGAATTATTTTCTTTCTTTTTTTTAAAATTTATTTATTTGACAGAGAGAGAGAGATCACAAGTAGGAGAGAGGCAGGCAGAGAGAGGGGGAAGCAGGCTCCCAGCTGAGCAGAGAGCCTGATGCGGGGCTTGATCCCAGGACCCTGGGATCATGACCCGAGCCGAAGGCAGAGGCTTTAACCCACTGAGCCACCCAGACACCCCTAAATGGAATTATTTTCTTGATTTCATTTTTGGATTGTTCATTGCAAAGTATTTAGAAATACAACTGATTTTTGTTTGTTGATCTTGTATCCTACAGCTTTGCTGAATTCATGTGTTAGTCCTAATAGTTTTGTTGGGGAGGGAGGCCCGGGTGGAGGGTGTATTCTTTAGGGCTTTCTATAATAGAAGATCATATCATCTCGGAATAGAGAAATTCTTACTTCTTTCTTTCCAAAGTGTATGCATTTTATTGCTTTTTCTTGCCTAAATGCCCTGGCTCGAACTTTCAGTACATTGCTGAGTAGAAATGGCAAGAGTGGTCATCCTTGTCTTGTTCCTTATCTTAGGGGATCACCATAAGGTATGATGTTAGTTGTAGGATTTTTGTAGAAACCTCTTATCAAGTTGAGGGAGTATTCTTCTATTTCTAGTTTGATAAGTGTTTTTATCATGAAATGGTATTAGATACTGTCAAATTTTTTTTTTCTGCATCAATTGAGCCCCGACTTTATTCTATTAGTGTGGTGTATTACATATACTAATTTTTGTATGTGAACCACTTTTGCAGTCCTGGCTTAAACTCCACTTGTTCATACTGTATAATCCTTTTAATATATAGCTTGATTCAGTTTACTGGTATTTTGTTAAGGATTTTTGCCTCTATATTCATAAGGGATATGAACTTTTCTTGTGATGTCTTTTGCTTTGGTGTTGGGGTTGTTGGCCTAATAGAATAAGTTAGGGTATGTTCTCTCATCTTCTATTTTTTGAAGAGTTTGGAAGGATTGGTATTAATTCTTCTTTAAATGTTTGGTAGAATTCATCAGTGAAGCCATCTGGTCCTGGACTTTTCTTTGTTGGAAGTTTTCTGAATACTGATTCAATATCCGATTATAGGTCTGTTCAGGTTTTCTATTTCTTCTTTGGGTCAGTTTTGGTAGTTTGTGTGTTTCTAAGAATTTATCCATTTTATCGATATTATTCAATTCGTTGGCATACAACTGTCCCTAGTATCCTGTTTGTCAATGTTGTTGATCCTCACAAAGAACCAACTTTTGGTTTCATTGATTCTCTCTATTGTATTTCCATTTTCTGTTTTGTTTATCTCCACTTTCATCTTTATTATTTTCTTTCTTCTTCTTGCTTTGGTTTTTTGCTTTTTTTTTTTTTAAAGATTTTATTTATTTGACAGACAGAGATCACAAGTAGGCAGAGAGGCAGACAGAGAGAGAGGAGGAAGCAGGCTCTCTGCAGAGCAGAGAGCCCAACGCGGGGCTCAATCCCAGGACCCTGGGATCATGACCTGAGCCAAAGGCAGAGGCTTTAACCCACTGAGCCACCCAGGCGCCCCTTCTTGCTTTGGTTTTAATTTGTTCTTCTTTTCTAGTTCTTTAATGTTTAAATTTAGATTATTGATTTGAGATCTTTCTTTTTTTTAAAGTAGGCATTTATAACTAACATTTTGCTCTGAGTGCTGTCTCATAAGTTTCAGTATATTGGGTTTTCATTTTTACTCATCTCAAAGTATATTCTAATTTCCCTTGTGATTTCTTCTCTGACTCATTGTTCAAGAGTAATTTATTTAATCTTCCAGGTTTCCTTCTGTTACAGATTTCTAATTTAATTCCATTGTGGCCAGAGAAGATACCTGTGTGATTTTAATCTTTTTAAATTTATCAAGACTTTTGTGACCTAATATATGGTCTATTCTGGAGAACTTTCCATGTGTACTTGACAAAAATGTGTATTCTATTATTGAATAGAGTGTTCTATAGATGGCTGTTAGGCCTAGTTGCTTTATTGATCTTCCGTCTATGTGTTAGATCATTAATGAAAGTGGGGTATTGAAATCTCCAGCTATTTTTGGCCTGTTCATTTCTCCCTTCAGTTCTGTCCGTTTTTACTTCATATATTTTGGGGCTCTGTTTTTGGGTACACATTTGCTTGTAATTGTCATATCTTCTTGATAAATTTATCATCTAATCGTAATATAATGTCCTTCTTTATCTGTTGTAACAGCTTTTGTCTTAAAGTTTATTTTGTCTGATATTAGAATAGCCACTCCAGTTCCCTCTCTCTTTCTCTCTGTTTCTTTTTGGGGGAGGGGGAAGCAGGGAGAGGCAGAAGGAGAGGAAGAGATTGAGAATTCCTCAGCAGCCTCCACACCTAGGGTGGAGCTCGCCGACCCAGGACTCCATCTCACAACCCTGAGTTCATGACCTGAGCTGAAATCAAGCATCCCGCGCTTAACTGAACCACCCAGGCACCCCACTCCTGCTCTCCTCTGATTACTCTTTGCATGGAATATTTTTTCACCCTTTTAATTTCAATCTGTTTGTGTCTTTGACTCTAAAATGAGACTCTTATAGACAGCATACAGTTCATTCAAAGAGCAATTTTTGAATACTTACTTTGTGCAAGCAATTACTTAGGCTCTTGTGGGTAAGAGACTTCCTGTGTTCAGGAACTTAATATCTTATAAATAGTTCATAAAATGGGGTATAAATAAAGTTGCTTTGGTGGGAACTTTCACTTTGTGAAAATCCACCAATCTTTAGGAAGACTTTTGCCCTTTTCTATATGTGTCTTATACTTTAAGAAAAAGTCCCCTCCAAGAAGCACTTCGGGGATTCAAAATTGGAAGAAGTTATTTTCAGCTGAGAGAATAGGGGAATGCCTTCACCCGGAAACTGACTTTTGAAAGGCTTTATGTTATATTGTTACTGAGAGTTTGTCATAATCAGGATAAGTGGCTTTATTTTCATGGAAGCGGATGATGCCATCATCTTCATCATCATCATCATCATATTGTCATTTGCTGCTGCTTCATCATGCCAGTACCAAGCATCATCTACTTCTTCGTGCATATTAACCTACTGAATTCTCAAAGGAGCCCTAGGAAGTAGGTTACTATTATTGTCTTTATTTGACAGAGGAAAACTTGAGACACAGTGAAGTTACCTAAGTGGTAGAGCCAGAGTACAAATTGCTCCATACAGCTTCTCTCTTATAGAAAGAGTATCAGTTCTCAAAGTATGGTTCAGGAACCCTTTGGGACCCAAGATCCTTTGTGGGGAGGGCAAGTCCACAGATCAAAATTATATTTATAATAATACTAAGGCATTATACGCCTTTTTCACTCTCATTCTCTCAGGAGTGTACAGTGCAATCTTCCAGAGACAATATGATCTGTGCTGTCACAACAGATTGAATGCAGAAGCAGATATGAGAATCCAGTTGTCTTCTATTAAGCCAGACACTGAAGGAAATTTTGCAAGTGGGAAACAATACCACTCTTCTCACAACATTTTTTTGTTTTGCCAAATAGAGTTATCTTTCATGAATTGTATTGTTCATGTTAACATTTAGGGGGCTTATTATTGCTTTTAATAAATTAATAAATATTAAAAATTTTTGTTTCAGTTTTTCAGATAAATATCTATAGATACAATTCACATACATAAAAGCACTTTGGAGTCCTCAGGCATTTATAGAGAGTGGGAAAGTGTCCTAAGATCACAGAGTTTGAGCATCACAGTCCCACGCTGTTCAGCTCTTAGGTAATAGCCACGGAAGAGCTGGTTTTGTGAGGACAGCAGCAGCTTTGGAGTCTGGTCCACCTCTGTTTGAGACCCGCACAGTTTACCCTTCCTTTACTTCTGTGACATCGGACATACTTCCTACATCCTGGGAAAGCCATGAGCATTCCATGAGAAGGCCGGCTAAAGGCCTAGCGTATAGTAAGCACCCAATTAGTGGTATTGAACCAGACCTTGTTTTTGCGCTACCCACAGGTGATGGACTTTTACTGCCAGTCTTGCGAGACCGCCATGTGTCGGGAGTGCACTGAGGGGGAGCATGCGGAACACCCCACAGTCCCCCTCAAGGACGTGGTGGAGCAGCACAAGGCCTCGCTCCAGGTCCAGCTGGACGCCGTCAACAAAAGGTGCGCACGCCTCCCCCGGACTCCCGACTGGCTGAGCATGAGGCTTGCCCTCTGGATCTCCGGCCTCAGTGGGATAATAGGTTCACGCTACCTAAATAAATTCTCCTTTGATGGTGGATCTGTAGTCATAAACTAGTGAGTGATAAGGGTCATCCTCTGCCCCTTGGTAAAATTCCAACCTCCTTATGTTATGAGTGGTGGCATTTTTGTTTTAGTACCTTTTAATGACTAAATGAATAAAATACTTTTAGGGAAAATGCTCCCGGGAGATCCCTGAAATCCGTGCCTGAAACCAGGCTCTGGGAGTTTTTCTTAGTTGCTTTTTCTGACATATACTGGTATACTGAACCATTGTGTTGACTGTCACTAGCTTGTCTCTGTTTGAGCCCAGCAAAATAGTACCAACCAGTGACTGTTCAATTTTCCTTATGTTTCCCTGCTTCTAGCCTTACTCTTTGGCATGGAAATGAGGGGACAGGGTAGTTGTGCGATACATGAGAAAGACCAGAGAAAGGAAGTAAACAACCAGCTGAAAATCCTCATCACCAACAGTTGTAGTGAGAAAAGTATGGTTATTCTATAATAATTAAAGGAACTTGGAAACTTGCAAATGTTCCTTCTCTGAGGGAACTCAGAGTCTGGATAAGTTTTTCATACGATTAGGTGAAAAGATACAGCTATATATTTAGAACAATGGTTCTCGATTGTGGGCAGTTATACCCTTGGAGGCATTTGGCAATGACCTGGAGACAGTTTGGTGTCACAACTGCGTGTGGGGGTGCTGTTGGCCTCTGGCAGAAGACAGGATGCTGTTAAACGTCTTATAACACACAGGATAGTCCCCTGCAACAAAGAAGCATGCGGCCTACAATGTTACAGGGTCAAGTTGGAGAAGTCTTGCTTCAGAGTGAGGAGAAGCCATGGTGTTTAGAGAGCCTCAAGACTTTGTACCATCAATTATTAAAATTAGATGATTGATTAGATGAAGTAGACGTGGACCCTCAAAGTCTATTCTCTCAAAAGCAGTTAATTATGTCACGTCTTATTTATTCTGTTCTTCCACTATTACTTTTTTGAAGATGATGAAAGGCAAAGAAAATGTTTTTTGACAAAACATAGTGTTTAGATAGATGTTTCTCTGTTTCTGGGTTGATGTTAAATAATAATCTTTAATGACTGTCCTCCAGGCTCCCAGAAATAGATTCTGCCCTTCAGTTCATCTCAGAAATCATTCATCAGTTAACCAACCAAAAGACCAGCATTGTGGATGACATCCATTCTACCTTTGACGAGCTCCAGAAGACTCTGAACGTGCGCAAAAGTGTGCTGCTTATGGAACTGGAAGTCAACTATGGCCTCAAACATAAAGTAAGATTCCAGCCATTCTCATAGATACACAGTAAGAGACATGGTATCCCGGGCACCTCTCTGCACTAGCTTACTGTGTTCTAATAATAGCAAAGGGGACTCAGATGGGTCCTTAATGTCACTGTTGCATAGTAAACAGTAGTTTTCTTTTTTAAACAATTTACTTACTTATTGTAGAGAGCGAGAGAACGAGTAGAGCGGGGGAGGGACAGAGAGAGAAGGAGAGAAGGAGAAGCAGGCTCTGTGTTGAGCAGGGAGCCTGATGCCAGCTTGGTCCTGGGATCCCAGGATCATGACCCCAGCTGAAGGCAGATACTTAAACAACTGAGCCACCCAGGTGCTTCAACAGTAGTTTTCATTTAATGGCACATCCAGCTATTTTTTCCTTCCTCTTTTCAGCAAAGTTCTATGATTCTGTAACCATAAGGTCCAATTTATAATTTGACACAAGACAAGATTGAATATAAAGTCATATTTTCAGGATTTAGGTTTAAGCTGGATTATTTTCCTTCCTTGATTATAACGTCTAATAGTCTCTTAATTGCTCTCTCATCCACACCAACCTGTTAGTCAACTTCCAAGAGAACCCTGACTGCGGCCTTTAACATGTCCAATCACAAAGCCAGGGATCAAAAGCTTCTGCTATTAGGGTGTGGTGGGTTTTCATTAGTCTGGTTTCTGTTCCTTTAGGTGGCAACAGGGGATTTGGCGACTTTACGGAGAGATACTGAATAATGAATATTTCGGATGCCGGGCATAGCAATTTGTTTTCCCGGCTCCTAGTGGTGACGTTTCCGCTCGCCCCAACAAAAACACATGACCCAAGAAATATGTGTGTGGGAGAGTCTGGGCGAGGAGGAAGGGAAAGAGGTGGTACCGGGAACGCAATTCAGAATCAGGCTTTTGAAGCGGGTTCGCTGGGCCGGATTAAGTACCCCCCCACCCAACCCCGCGGAGAGCCAGCGGCGTGGGCAGGTGCAGGACCCGGCGGCGGCCCGCGGAGGGCAGTGCCCCCGCGCGCCGGCGCGCAGCGTTTGATGGGCTGAGCTCGTGCACCGAGGCGAGCGCTCACCCGACCTCGATTCCCCCCAACCCCCCACCCCCACCCCCGCAGGTCCTTCAGTCGCAGCTGGATACTCTGCTCGAGGGGCAGGAAAGTATAAAGAGCTGCAGCAACTTCACGGCGCAGGCCCTCAACCATGGCACGGAGACGGAGGTGCTGCTCGTGAAGAAGCAGATGAGCGAGAAGCTGAACGAACTGGCCGACCAGGACTTCCCGCTGCACCCGCGTGAAAACGATCAGCTGGATTTTATCGTGGAGACCGAGGGGCTCAAGAAGTCCATCCACAACCTCGGGACGATTTTAACCACCAACGCGGTCGCCTCCGAGACTGTGGCCACGGGCGAGGGGCTGCGGCAGACCATCATCGGGCAGCCCATGTCCGTTACCATAACGACGAAGGACAAAGACGGCGAGCTGTGCAAGACCGGCAACGCCTACATCACCGCCGAGCTGAGCACGCCCGACGGCAGCGTGGCGGACGGGGAGATCCTGGACAACAAGAACGGCACTTACGAGTTTTTGTACACTGTCCAGAAGGAAGGGGACTTCACCCTGTCGCTGCGGCTCTATGACCAGCACATCCGAGGCAGCCCGTTCAAGCTGAAAGTGATCCGGTCGGCCGACGTGTCTCCCACCACCGAGGGCGTGAAGAGGCGCGTGAAATCCCCGGGGAGCGGCCATGTAAAGCAGAAAGCGGTGAAGAGACCCGCCAGCATGTACAGCACTGGGAAGCGAAAAGAGAATCCCATCGAAGACGATCTGATCTTTCGAGTGGGTAAGGAGAAGGCGCCGCCGCGCCCCATTGTCTCAGCGCTGCTCTGGTTAAGGGGCGCCGGGGAAAGGGTTGTGGCAAATGGGAACCTTGCGGGTCGGGACTTGGACCTGTAGGCGCTGCGGGACACTGGGATATTTTATTAGGTGAGTTTAGGCAGTCTTCTCCGGAGATTTTAGGATTTATTTCCCCCCTTTCCTCCCTCCTCCTCCTCCCTCTTTCCTCTCTCCCTCCTCATCCTTTTTCCTTCTCCTGTTACCTCCCTTCATCTTCGCCCGTCAGCCTCCCTCCCCTTTGTCCTCCTCCTTACCCCTAAGTCCTCTCCACCCTCCGCCCCCCATCTCTCCAATTTCCCCCTCTCTGTCCTCCTCTCTGGTTCCCATCCCTCCCTCCCTCTGTTCCCTTCTTTCTCCCCCTTCCCTCCCCCCCTTCTCCTTGTGCTCTCCTCTCTCCCCCTTTCCTCGCTGCTCCTTCCCCACCTCCTCCTTTGTAACGCTAGTGCGCATATTCATTGTAGAAAATTAGAAACGGAAAATAAGCAAAAAAAGAAAATAGAAAAAAATCACAGCACTCAACCCGAAATTTTGAAGGACATGTTGACCAACTCACGGCCCCCTGACCCCCCACTCCCGCCAAAGGAATGTCTTTAGCAGTAGCTGAAGGCAGAGCGATTGTTACTTGAGATCACTCCATTGTTTCTCTGAATCCCAGCTGCGGCTGCACTGTGGGCGGAGGGCCTAATGCCTCCCTGTCACTGCTTCTGTACCATAGGGCTGGGGATGGGGGACACGGAGCAGTCCAAGTCGTGGTCACTTCCAGGTGTGTGTAGCTGGAGAGCAGCCCCAAAGTGGGGAGGGTGGGTGGAAAATATGGAGAATGGAATGGGGCTGAGGCGGAAACCAGGCGATGAGCCTATAGATTGGAGAATGCAAATCTCAAATTCCCTTGTCTGCTTTATTGCCTCTGATTTTAACTGTTTATTCTCTCAGTAGAAAGCAAACTAAAGGTAAGTATCACTGGACTTTGTCATTCTTCAGGAAAAAGCCTGCATTTTGGTTAATGTTTCCAAAAGAACCTTTATCTTTATCCTGCTTATCTTTCTGCCTCTTAAGTCCTGTGTTGCAGAATCTCTGAAAGGGCACTGTGTGAAGCCTGGGGTTCAAATAGATTGGGGAGACCTTAGCTTCAGTTAAGGAAAGTTGTTGTTGTTGTTGTTGTTGTTGTTGTTGTTTTAACCCTGGAACCTTTAGAATCTGCCAGTGTGCCCTGTAAGTCTCCAAGACAGGAGAAGGGATAACAGGCAGCACTTCCACAAAGCTTTCCTAAGCAGAGAACTTTTTCCGTGGCACATCCTGGGAAACAAAGGCTCCTTGGAACCTCCTTGGTCAGCTGCTGCTCTTGTGTTAATACTGCATCTTGTAAAGGCCACGATGGGACATGTAACTTGTCCACTCACAGCCCGGAGGCCCTTCTCCCTTCACTGGCCATATGTGCCACATGAGTGCAGAAGTTAGACCTGCCTGCTGAAGAGGGATGGAGGAACTGGGCAAGGACCTGGGCAGGTGCAGGAGTGGGAGCCTCCCAGGTCTGCTGCTCCGGTTCTGCCACTTAACTTGAACTTTAGGCAGGTCTCTCAGCTTCTCTGAGCTCCAGTTTCCATGTCCATAAAATGAGAATAGAAGAAATACCTGTCTCGCGGAGCTGATGAAGTTCTAGAACATAGGTGAGGTCCGGTGGGGTGAGGTCTAGAGCCGATGACCAAGAAAGAATTCTTGAGACATCTTTGGTGCAAAATGGTGGTTTATTAAAGCATGGGGGCAAGACTCGTGGGCAGGAAGAGCTGCTGCCCCGGGGTTGTGAGGGGTGGCAGGTTATGTACCATGGGGGTGGGGGAAGGAAAAGGGAGGTTTCAGTAGAACTTTCATATGCTAAAGAGGACCTACCAGATACCAGAGGCCTTGCCTTTGCCAAGGTCGTTTTGCTGTTTTTAGCAAGCTATTAAGATAGTTGGGAGAGTCCTAAAGAATGTCACATGTCCTACTCAGGAGTGGGGGTGGGGGAAGGTTGCAGGGTGTCAGCCTTTTGCTTTGTCCTCAGCCAGCCTTCTGTTCTCACAGAGCCATCGTGAGTTTCAAGCTTAATGCCTGGTATGCTGTAGGAGTTAAATAAATGAGAACTATTGGTTTGCTCAGGCAGTGATGGTCCTTAGATTTTCCCTACTTCCTTTTCTTCTAATTTTTTTTTTTTTTTTACCCTTCCTGCTCCCCACTGATCTCCTGCATTGAGAACAAGCTCAGTGGGTCTCCTGCTCAATCCTTTCCTCCACCTCCTCCCCTGACCTCCTCCCCCAGCCAAGTGATCCCAGCCTGTTTCTCCAGGCAGTATGCCAAGTGGAAAAGGACAAAGATCTGGGTCTGAATTCTAATTCTCCTTAACAGCTGGGCAAGTAGCTTACCTTTTCTGAACCCAGTGCTCAGTTACTGGTAGCTGTTATTTTCCTATTGCTGTTCATTTTAATCTCCATCATCACCACCGGTGATTCTCACCTGACGTACCTCTTCGGGTGTTTCCCTCCACCATATTGATTTTGAATCCCCAGCTTCCACCAGAGAAGGGGGTGTACGCTTTTCCCTCCTGTCCCTTGCGAATTCACTGGTGACTCACTGGCACAGGTGGAAAGGTGTTTAAATGTTTAAACATCCGTCAAGACCTTAGAAGAGTGCCTGGCATACGGCACTGCGTCCGAGCTTATTCATGAAGTAAAGATGCTGTCTTAATTTGCTAGGGCTGTCGTAACAAAACTCCATAGACTAGGTGACTTAAACAAGGGAAATTTATTTTCTCACAATTCTGGAGACTGGAAGTCCAAGATCAAGGTGGTGCCAGAGTTGGTTTCCTATGAGGCGTTTCTCCTGGTCTTCTAGGTGGCGGTCTTTTTGCTGCTTTGTCCTTACAGGGTTGTCCCTCTGTGTATGCAGAACTCCTGGTGTTTTTTTCTCTTCTGGTGAGAGATTAGGGCCTCACCGTAATAGCCTTATTTTAACTTAATCACGTCTTTTAAGACCTTCTCTCCAAATGCAGTTACATTCTGAGGTACTGGAGGTTGGGACATGAGTTTTGGGGGTTCGGCCCAGATGTAAGGGCAGAAAGGAAAGCAGGTCTTTCAGGCCTGTTTCTCCTTAACTTTATGTTTTAATCCAGAGTTAGCCAAAAGACACCACTCACGGTGCAATAATTTGGCTCAAAAAGCGTTTCTAGAGCACCTGGTGCCCTCTGCGCACTATGCCAGGTGATGAGAATCTAGAGATGGAAGAAACGAGATCTCTCTCAAGGAGTTTACAGTCTGGGTGATAGATGCATGACTGCTTGACTAAATGTGGTGTCGCTCCAGTCTCTCCATCAGATGAGCAGGAGGTGAGAGAATTCACCTGAGGCAGAACAAGGGAGATAGAAGTTTTTGGAGTAGTGGGCAGAACAGCAGAGGAGAGACTGAGGCAGTGGGTGGGATTCGTTTTTAAAGAGGAAAGCTGAGGTACAGGGATGTATGAATTCTTCCTTTTTGGGGGAGCCAGGCCGAGTTGTAAGTAGCCCATTGGTCAATTAGGGCCTCCAGGTGTTTTGAGGCTATTTTGAAGTGGGTCGTCTGAGGGGCGTGTCTGTATTCAACAGGTGCTCACTGGGGCCCTTTCAGCCTTCCACCGCTCAAGCCTGTTGCCTAAAGGCAGGCTCTACCCTTAATACCATGGGTTAGGGGGTGGAAAGCTAGGAAAAGGAGAAAGAATTTAAAGAAGGACACAAGCAAAGAGGAGGAGTTATCCGGGTTGACAGGTGGAAGTAGCACTCCAAGTCGAAGGACCAGAGCAAGGAGGAAAGGCTTGGTGAAGAGGAGTGAACTTGAGTGAGGTTTCTGAGCAACACATCCTGTGAGAAGATGCAGGGGCGCAAAGGCGCCATGGAACGTGGGGAAGGCACTGACTGGAGATGAGGCTGGACAAGTCAGTGTCGGCGCCCACTGCTCCCTGAACACCCTCTGGGCTTCCATACCAGGCACCTGATCTCTGAATTCTTCCCCCAATTTTATCTTTTCCCCAAGTTCCACCTTCTTGTTTGGAGTCTGCTGTGATGATTACTCTTCATGCATGGGCCTCATTTCCCAATAAGATTACAAATTGCTTGAGGTCAAAGATGATGTCCAACAATACCCCAAAGAATACTTGGCATAAGTACTTTATTTGTTTGAATAGGATCCAGTTGTGACCTTCCACATGATTTAACTTCCCTCTCACCACTGTCAGGCCTCAGTGTTGTCCAAGAACACACAGACCAGACAACCCGGCGCTAAGCCCAAGGCTAGTCATTCACATGTATCCCCATGTCTGGAACTGTGCTACGCAATGTCAGGCAAACAGTGCTGGCCTTCTAAGAACTTGTCTTCTTGACGTCTGTACTGTAGGCTACGGCAGGTAGAGTTTATATTAATAATTAGAAGACTTTCAACTTTTTTTTTTTACAATTGTAACTATTATTTTTTTTAAAAGATTTTATTCACTTATTTGCCAGAGAGAGAGTATGCACAAGCAAGGGGAGCGGCTGGCAGAGAGAAACAGAGTCCTCATTGAGCAAGGATCATGACCTGACCCAAAGGCAGACACTTAACTGACTGAGCCTCCCAGGCATCCCTATAATTTTGTTTCCGAACTTTAAGTTTCTCTGTACAATTCAGCTTTTAGGTGCATAACAATAGAACATGCACAGTTTGGGGGACGCCTGGGTTGGCTCCGTCGGTTAAGCATACAGCCTAGGACTCTTTGGCTAGGTTAAGATCTCTGGGTCAAGGGATGGAGCCCTGCTTTGGGTTCCACACTCAGCTGGGAGTCTGCCTCTCTCCCTCTGCTCTTCCCCCCAGTTACGGTCTCTCTCTTTCTCAAAGAAATAAATCTTCAAAAAAAAAAAAAAAAGATAAAATACACCTTTAAAATGTTATTTAAAAAACAAAAACAAAA